AGGGCTGATAGCAAGGGTCAGGGTCAGACCTGGCCTGGGTGAAACCCTTGGGTAGACAGAAGCTCTCCTGGGCGCTTGGGTGAGATAACATCTGCCAGAGGTGGCTGTTTCCTGCAGTACTTTCTGTCTTCTTTAAAGACAGCTGTGATAATGAAGATAGCATTGATCTGTCACTAAGAGAGACACTCAGGTCATCTGTGATGTTAGCTGGGAAGGGGGCATTAACTCCGTAGGTGCTGAGGTTGTCTCTAAAGGCCTCAGCAACTTCAGGAAGAAATTTTTTACTCTGAGGGTGGTGAGACATTGGTTGCCCAGGGAAGTTGTGGCTGCCCCATCCTGGAAGTGTTCAAGGCCAGGCTGGATGGGGTCTTGAGCAACCTGCTCTAGTGGGAGGTGTCCCTGCCTAGGGCAGGGGGGTTGGAACTCGATGATCTTTGAGGTCCCTTCCAACCCCAACCATTCTGTGATTCTATGATTCTAACCAAAGAAAGGACAGCATCAGAAACGCAAAGCCAGCCTGGCAGATGAGGGATGGAGGCTTGGTGTGCTCTCACTTGACCGTCCTCATCTCTCTTCCCTCTTGAAGGTGAGGGGCATCACTCTGTTGAGCTACGGGGAGCTACATGGCAGCTCTGGTGGTGTGACAACTACAGCCACCACTGTGAGGTGGAAAGCCCCGGCCTGCACTGACGATGCCGAGAGGTCCTGCATACCGCAAAGCAAACCCACCACCACGCCTTGGCTACAAACCCACACCGGGTGCTCAAGAAAAGCCAAAAACAATTGAGTCCTGAGTGGCTACCGCCAACCACAGGGGCAGAGGGAGGCTCTGAACCTCCGCCGGACCTGAATCACCAGGAGGACAGCAGCACAAGTAGGTCAGCAGAGTGGAAAAATGAATGTAGGGCAGAAAAGCCAAAGAGCAGCGTGGTCAGACCCACACCACCCTCTGCACAGGCTGCATGTTTCTCTTATCCAGCCTGCACGCACTTATCCACGTGGCGTCAGGTCTTGCGGAGGATGCTGGTGGCCACCGGTGTCCCTCAGAGGTGGCAGCTCACAGGATCCAGCCAGGCAGGGCTGGAGGTGGCACGGAGGCAAAGCTGAGCTCGATTTAGCCCAGATATGGAGGAATCTGTGCCCATGTGCCGGCATGCACCGAGCACGAGCCGCCCACCCACACCAAACGCTGCATCAACGAGGAGCTTGAACCGAGCTCGGCGAAACCACCGTGGGGTTTTAGCACATCTGCCTGCAGAGACGACGCCTCCTGACACACCACTCGCCTAAATTTAATAGATGAATTCTGTCTCCTAAGTCACGTCTGAAAAACACAACACCTGGCCTAATGCAAGGCTCAAGTTGGCCAAGCTTTGCAAGAGCTGTTCCCAAAACCAGAGGTGTCCAGAGCCGGCCCTCCCTGCAGCTATGGAAACTGAAGTTCACCAACTCCTCAGCAGTTACATTTCTCCTTCAAAAAAGATAAGAAAATTGCATCAACCTCCATCTGAGCAACCATGGCAACTTGTTAAATTAGGTCAAGATGTGGGGGCAGATAACGCTGCTTTGAAAAGCTGCTTGCGAGCTGGGTGAAGAACACATCAAACGCAAGTGGAGCTTCCGCCAAAATGCACCTTCTCACCAAAGCCTGCGCCTCCTTGGGCAGATACCATCAGAGATCTGCCGCGGCTGCGATAAAGCACCGTGCCACCTCCCTGGGCCACCAGCAAAACAGGCCCCTGGTAACAAAACCTGAACAATATTGTCAAGTTCTTAAAGTCAACCCAAAGAGCCCTGGAGATGAAGGACGTGATCTCCCAGGCTTCGCCCTTCCAGCCCTAAAAGGTGCACACCGTGGCATGTCTGCTGGGTCTCCACTGGCTGGTGTTGGACCTGTGCTGGAGGCATCATCTGAGTGAGAAAGGGAAAGCAGGGGTCCATGGGCTGGTAATCCCCTGCTGGGCTCGTTTGGAGGCTCCACCTCCTCGCTAGAGCTGCAAACGGAGCCCAGACTTCAAGTTCCTCTGCTCTAGCTGTTAGACAGCACTTCCTCCCACCAGTAAAGTAAAAATCATGTAAAGCAAAGCAAAAAAACAAAAAAGAAAGGACCTAAGACTTCTGCCCGAGAGTACCCACACTCCTCACTCAGCTGCCCCAAGAAACAGGTCGGGCACTTCTCAGTGGCCAGCCTGGATTTTTCTCTTTTTTTCTTTTTTTTTGTTGTTTTTTTTTCAGAAATACACTAATACTCTCAGTGGCCAGCCTGGATTTTTCTCTTTTATTCTTTTTTTTGTTTGTTTGTTTTTTGCAGAAATACACTAATATGAAGCAGTTCTGAGAGTGCCCAGTTCTCCTTCGGTTTGTAACACAACGTGTTCTCACTTGCTCTTGCTGTGACCTGCTTTCACAGCAACCTGCCTCCGCACTGCACCCGTGCTGGGCTCCCTTTGCACCGAAAGCATACGGTGGTGACAGGTCAGGAGGCTTTAAAAAGGGACAGGGGACATCTCTGGAGTCAGATGCCTGCAAAGTTCATCTCTCCAAGGATTTTTTCCAATGGTAAATGCAGGCTGTGGCACTTTGAATATTGAATTATTGCCTAGCAGCCTTCGGAGCAAACTCTCCGGCCCAAGGATTTCCAAGATTTTCTGATTCTGGAAAACTCTGATTTTCCTCTTCCCATTACAGTTTTTCAAGCGAAGCGATGCAAGAAAAAAAAGGAAAAAAAATCAGGCACTCCAACTTATTGATCACACCGAAAGGCCTGGGCCAAGGGATTATCTTCCCAGCTCAAAACGGGGTTTGAAATGAGGCAAGGGAAAATGTTACGCAGCGCAAAGTGTTTGGAAGTGTGCTCTGGCATTGCATTAACCCAAGTCTCCCCTTCCTGGAGGCAGGAGTCCAAGGACACTCTTTGGGGTGCTAATACTCCTTGGCAAAAGCCAGGGTCCAACCTCCAGCTCCAGCTCCTCGCTCAGGGAGGGAGCTGGGACCGCTGCCTCTCCACGGGGGCGGCTCTTTTCCATGAGCAAATGTGGAGAGAAACATCCAGCTTGGAAAATTAAAGCCCCCTCGTTTTTTGCCAGCGCCTCCGTGCCTCAGTTTCCCCAGCTGTTAAAACACAGCCAAGCCTTCTTCTGCCCAGCCACTGGGTACCCAAAAATGCCTCTACCCCAAACATCTCCAGGCGTTATCTGGGGAAAATAGGAATTGAAGTCACAGATTGTGCTCACTGGTCTCTTTTCTTAGTAACATCAGCTTCCGTGGGCGCAGCGGAGGATGGTGTCTGGGGGCACAGCCCCTCCTACCCCTCATGCCTCTGCCCACCACATCCCCCCGCCGAAAACCCATTCAGGAATAGCAGAGCACACTTTTATTTTTGCATAGACTTGGTCGAAACAGGCTCATTCAGCAGCCAGGGCTGAGCTTTCTTTCTAACTAAAGCTATAGCAACAAACCACTTCCTTTTTTACACATAGCTCCTAAAATTATCTCTCCACTTCTCCTCCCCTCTATATCTCTCCCCCCCTCCCCCTTACAAAAAAAAAAAAAAAAAACTAGATATCAGCCCCGAGATGAGCGGGGCGCGTGGGAGGGGATTTCAGGGACAGTCGCACCTCAGGATCTGCTCTGAACCTTTTGATGATCTTTATCTGCACAAACTATTTCCACCACTTGGCTCCTCTGGGCCACAGCTGCTACCAGCTGGGGCAGAAGAGATCAGCACGTACGAGGGAAAAGGGGAACTGGCAGGAGGCTGCCCTGCAAATGGGACTTGTAGCACAGGGAAAAGACCCGGCACACAGAAGGACTGGAAAGGATTATCTCAGTTTTAGCTGGAAGCCCCCATCCCACCAGGTTTCTCTCCACGGAGATGCCAGATTGCTGGAGGGCTGTCATATAAAAAAGGCAGAGTTTCCGTGGCCTATCACCTTCTCATCTTTCCCAGCGCAGGGAATGGAAAAAGTTTGGGGCTGCTTTGGCACCGTCCCGTCCCTGCCTCTCACCAAGGTAAAGAGCAAAACCAAGTGCTTCCTTCCTACCAGAAGGGGAGAAGATCCTTTCACATCACACACAGCAATGCTAGAAACACAGCCACTCCTGCCCGAGGTGGGAAACCACACGCAAGTGGCCAGCACATTGTGTAGAAGTGTTGGAGAGGGAAACGAGGACTCTCTACTACCTCGTGTTCTCAGCAAAACAAACCAGCCACCGGTTCCTACCACACCCCACCAAGAGGCATCCAGGCATAACTATATATATAACTATATATATAACTTCTATAGAGCTATATAATAGCTCTATAGAAGAGCTGGGGAGGGACTCTTTGCCAGGAAGGGTAATGATAGGACAAGGGGAAATGGTTTTAAATTGGAAGAAAAAAGATTCAGATTAGATATCAGAAAGAAATTTTTTACTATAAGGGTGGTGAGACACTGGAACAGGTTGCCCAGGGAAGTTGTGGATGCCCCATCCCTGGAGGGGTTCAAGGCCAGGCTGGATGTGGCCTTGAGCAACCTGCTCTAGTGGGAGGTGTCCCTGCCCATGGCAGGGGGGTTGGAACTAGATGATCTTTGAGGTCCCTTCCAACCCAAACCATTCTATGATTCTATGATTTTATGAAACGAGGACTCTCTACTACCTCGTGTTCTCAGCAAAACAAACCAGCCACCCGTTCCTACCACACCCCACCAAGAGGCATCCAGGCATAACTGAAAACACAAGGCATCAAATGCTCTGCACTCAGCCAGGTTCTTCACCCTCCACGAGGTCTGGAGCACCCATGCTTGAAGGGCGTGCAGCCTTGGGGGGCCGCATCTACTCAGCTGTGCCCACGTACATGTGGCTGAGCCCAGGGAAACCCCAAAACTCCTCACCTACAGACCGCTGAGCCCGTGATGCAGACACTGGGCAACCCAGAGACCCTGGAGGCTCTGCCCACCACCACTGGAGAGGCTCTACCCAAGATGAGATGGGTTTCCTGAGGAGTGTGACCCTACCTGTGTAGCCAGCGAGGGCGGCAGCAGGAATGACAGGCTTGTCCTTGTTCATATCGGCCCGATCTCGAACATAGTCCTTGAAGGTGCCCTTGGGCTTGTGGTTGGGCAGGGCAGCGGGGTAGTCCTCCGAGTCAAAGCTGTCGTAGGAGGGGACACGCTGCAGGCTCTGGAAGGAGGACTGGCTGCTCCAGGACTGCGTCAGCCGGTCGCAGCTATCATAGCTCTCTATGCTCTCGAAGGAGTCCTGGCCACCCAGTTTACCTGGTGAGAAGGAAAGGCATGTGAGATGCGCCTGGCCAGCACGGGGATGCTCTAGCTTGCCACGGCCAGGAGAAGAATGCTTCACCTGCCCGGGGTGCAGGCAGAAGGCAACCAGGCAAATGTTGCCGTCCCACCACGCCTCGTTTCCAAACAAACTCGAAAGTTTGGCCTGAAACTGGGATTCTTTTGTTATTTTCATTACTCAGAGCAGGGCTATCTGCTCCCCAGAGATGTTCAGGCACCAGAGCAAGGCAAAGAGAGAGAGTCAGGGGGAAAACCCAAAGTCCTGATTCTCTACCCAAGACTGGTGCCTGAGGCTAACTGGCAATTGTCCTGTTTCAAAAAGGAAATGGCAGAGAAATAATCTACTTCCGACAGGTATTCAAGGCTCAGTTCAGGTGCCAGGACCTCTTGCTCTTGCTGCTGAAAGATACAGGTCTCCAGTAAGTCCCATATTCTATCTGCCAGCCCTATATAAATGCTGCTCGGGTGTATTCAAGGGCACTGGACACCCAGCTTCTTTACTTTTGATGTTTCCCACAAAACTACACAGCAGCCTTTTATTGCCATATGTTACAACCAGCTTCCACCCCCCCACCCCCCTCCCCAAATCCCCAAACAGCAGCAGATTTGATGGAGGAGGAGAGCAAAAGGCTGAGAGCTCAAACAGCTATTTTTCCAGTTCTGGTAAGGTGAGCACAGCTGGGTTGTATCAAGGCTACTCTCTGGGGTATTTTTAGTCAAGACCAGAACACGAGAGGCCAGATCCTCAGTGCTGCTTTACACCCACTAGAGACAGTGTAAAGTATACCCTCCGTACGTAAAACAACCAAAAAAGGATCCAAAGAACAAACTGCAATTGCTCTCTCTGATCTCCCGTACGCCGCCGATTGCTCAACATCTTTACTGACAAACTCAGAGCGTAACAGGATCATTCAAGTTCACTAATTTCCCAAACCGGGCTAAAAACAGCTGCTGGGATTGTGCAAGAACTCCTGGAGAAATTTCCATTGGCAGCGCTACCCGCAGCTCGGGCCCAGAGAGTAAATCACAGGGGAAGAGGAACTTGGAAGGGTGCTGGCACGCACCCCCAAATATTTGTTGTGTTGTAGTTTGAAGAGCACTTGCTGTGAAAAGACTCAATTACTGTGGGTTCTGCCCCAATTTCTGGCCCGGAATCATTTGAGGTTTGGCCCCATTGGCTTGATTCTGCTGGTAATATTCATGCTGTAAACTCATTTTATTTTTTTCTTCTGCTTCTTTTCTTTTTTTTTCCTTTTTTTTCCTTTTTTTTTTTTTTTTAGAATTTCACAGCACACACTTCAATCACTTCCTGAATCCTGCAAGGGGAAAATTAACACCGCTCGCTGCACGTTCATTAATTGTCGTAACCGCTTCCCCGAGAAGTCCTGCGGCACAAGCTCGTTTAGAAAAGGAATTAAAAACCTGCCAGACGAACAGCCGCGGTGCTGGAGAACATGACTTGGGTCATTTCACTGAAAATTCACCTAAATTTGACCTAAATGGGAGCCTCTGGAAAAATCACGCCTTGCACCTACTTGGGAGAAACTTGTTGAGATTCTGGCAGCTGCACTTTCCAACCAGACGTCCTCGCTGATAAGGCAAGAGTGAAAAAACTCCCATGGGATCACAAAATTAACTCCTAAAGCCCACCCAAAGAAAAGACAAAAGGCTGGAAAACCTTCATCCTAAATTTCCCACTGCTGAAAACGCTTCACTTTGAGACAGATTAATTGTTTAATACAGTGGAAGGTAAAGATGTACATAAATATAAATAAACTGCACTAGTGATTTATGTTAAGTCTTTTTTATACCACTCTGGGAGGATTTATGCCACCCAAAGGTCCTTGAACATGGATGAAATGTAGCGTTAGCATAAGCATAGCCTGTTGCATTTCTTTAATTGCAATTAGTTTGTTAAAGTGTTTGCTAACACCAGGGGCCCTTGAGCCCCGATGAGGAGTTAAGGGCTCTTTCTTCCCTCCCCTGGAGCCTTTTGAAGCTCCCCACCGAGAACAGGCTCCAGGTACAATTGCAAAAGGGTGCCTGAATCGTCGTGTTTCAGTGAGAATTATTTTGAAATCACCTGTGGTAAAGAAAAGGTCAAGAAAAGGGAAAGACACTGATGAAAGACTGCCAGAAAAACAGCCCCAGAAAGAGGAGCTTCCCTAAAATTACAACACCCCAGCCCTTTTGGCTCACCGTATCGTCCACATATTAACACTCAGCCAGCAGCAGAAGCGGAGGTAATAATATAAATAATAACTTTCCTGCCATTAGCTCTCCCAGCTTGGAAGAAGAATGAGAAACTGAAAACGAGCTGCGCTGGGCCACGCGTGTGCGATGCAGACCTGCAAAGGGGCTGCGGCTTTCGCAGGGAACCAGCACAGCTTCAGCTCTCGGAGATGAATGGATGGGTTTAAACATCCCAACATCAAACCCAGCGCACAGCAACACGTCACTATAATGAATTTTAGGCATGGGGACACCTGGATTCTATTCAGGGCGTGATGGCAGGCAGGTCAGATCTCTTCCCCAGGCCTCAGGTTCCCTACCTGGAATCGGGAGATAACGATACCCCTTTGTAAAGTGACTTTGAGCTCTATGGATTAAATTTTGGCTTTGAATATACACTGTGAGCCAGGTCCTCAGCCTCGCATTAAGCGATGTAATTACAAAGTAGTCAGGCATCTGGGCCCCATGTGTTCAGAATTTAATAATATTAATTGAAAAGGCATTTGGGCTCAGATCCTCAAAAGTGTTTAGGTGTTTAAATCCCATCATCTCAAACAGGAATCGTGTACCTCTAACTCTTTGGAGATGTAGGGTTGCAGCACAAAGATTCAGGGGGTCCTTCAGCTCTGCTGCTGACCCAACCCATGACATCTCCATCTCCTAACAAAGCATGGGGGCTTGGGTTCAACAGAACAGATTATCAGTTCAAGCAAACAGACCTCAAAATCAATGGAGATAATGGATAAAAACTTTGAATCATCAAGTGTAAAACTCTTCAGAGCCTTGGACAGTAATTCCTGATGAAAGATTTGTGGGGTTTTGACTGGTCTTCTAGGAAAATGAGATTTATACAACCACACAGCAGTCTCTGTCCTCCCTAATAACCTTAAAGCCTATTTCCATTTCACTCAAGTTTGACATCAAAGTACAGAGCCAGAAATGCTGCATTTTTGCTACAAAACCAGGCAGCAGAGTAGAGAAAAGAAAGACCCTCTTCGTGTTTTCCGCAGACAGAAAGGCAGGGAGGCCTCAAAGCCACCAGGGGAATCCATCTGGAAGTTCAACCTCCTCAGAGGCTTCACTACTGGCATTGTCCAGTACGCTGATGGCCTTGGTCGCCCCCAAAATACATCTCCTACCGAGGGGAATGTTGACATAGAAGTAGCAAGAACCCAAGCAAACCCTGGGAGATGCCCAGCTTTACCTCGACTGGCGCGTCCCATGCACATGTTGTCTGGCGTTACTACTTCTTGCTTGATTGTGAAGTAGTCTGTCTGCAGGGAGTCCGTGGGGACCGGGTCGCGCAGGATGACTGAGGGATAGTCGTTCTCGTACTTGAGGGACAGGAGCTCTTCCGAGCTGATGGGATGGAGGGTCTGGTAGGACTCTGTGATGAAGCTGGGCTCAGAGAACTCGGAGGGGGGCACGCACTGTGCGTGCTCGATGCCATAACCTGCCGGCAGAAGGGGAACGTCAGAAAGAGCCCAAACAGAAGCAGCTCCAAGAAACCAGAGCGTTGCTCGCTCCTCCTTCAGTCTCACAGCGAGATCTGAGGTCTGCAGTGAGAGAGGAGACTGTCTTTGGAGATAAAACACCTGGAGCAACTGGGCGGTAATTTTGAGTAAGGTTTCTAAAAGCTACAGAGAGACTGTGTCTTATAATTGCAGCAATTTTTTTACAATAAGACATCCTCAACCACCAGCAACGGGGGTTACGCCAGACTCCTCTCAAGCAAGCTGCTAGTGGGGGAAAAGCTGGAAAATCACGATGAGCGTAGTCTCAGCAAAGGGGATATAAGGCAAAGAAGCTTCATTGATAATTGTAATAGATGAGTCACTTCCACAGTCATTTCCTCTCCTCACTGGTCAGAGCCTGGGATCCCAATTCACGTGAGTCGGGTTTTTTTGCTGGTTCATGAAATACACCACGGATTTCAAATGCCCTTAGACAACATCTCCACCCCAATGGCTATTGGAAGGGCAGGAATCTAGATTGATGACTCATCTCTTTCCTTGCTAGGCTCCTACCTGGCAATTCAGAATTAAGCCTTCTTTCCCCATACACCCCCTTCTTTAATATTTTTTTTTTTTTAATTCCAAATGTTCTGGATTGTTGAGGTTGCTTCTCAGGTCTACTGAGCTACAGCTTCAAACAAAGAGTGCTTCCAAAGTCAGGTTTATGGCACCTTGAGAAATTCACGTGAGTCGGGTTTTTTTGCTGGTTCATGAAATACACCACGGATTTCAAATGCCCTTAGACAACATCTCCACCCCAATGGCTATTGGAAGGGCAGGAATCTAGATTGATGACTCATCTCTTTCCTTGCTAGGCTCCTACCTGGCAATTCAGAATTAAGCCTTCTTTCCCCATACACCCCCTTCTTTAATATTTTTTTTTTTTTAATTCCAAATGTTCTGGAGTGTTGAGGTTGCTTCTCAGGTCTACTGAGCTACAGCTTCAAACAAAGAATGCTTCCAAAGTCAGGTTTATGGCACCTCAAGGCGGTCCCCCCAAAATAAAGATGGCTAATAAATAAACCCAAACTACTAGGAAAGACAAAATTACACACTTTTCATGCTCTGCCTTGACAGAGCAACAACTGCCTGGTACAACCCTCACGTGGTGCTGAAAAACCTCTATTAGACGGCACTTTCATGCCTGGAAGCACAAGAATGACACTGATAATTGAGACTTACTAATGAAGTAGTCTGAAGTATAGCGGGATTCTGGATATGTCGTATTCACTCCATTTGCTGGGTAGGGTTTTACCTCTTCTGCAAAGAGAAAAGGAAGGAAATGTCACATGTCCACAGGCACATTGTGCTTCGCAAGACTCGTCGTAATGCAGAGAGGTCTGAACTTCCTAAAATGTTCCTCTCTGGGTTAAACTGGGACATTCAAAGGCACAGAAATGAGTTTGGAGCTGAAATCCCACCGAAACAAGTGCTCGATGCACTTGGGTTCCTTTGGGGATTCTTGCTGCAGGCATGGCCAAATTTATACAAAACAAAACAGAACAGCAACATCTTTCTCAATCGGAGGCTCCAGGTGGTTCTGAAATACCAGTTGCACAATTTCCTTGCTTGCCTTAATTTTTGTCGTCTTTCACTCTCTTGAGGATCGCTTATCACACTTACATGTATGAGCTCGTGAAAAAAAAAATATCCACCACACAAGGACAGTTGTTTTCCTGAAAAAGCCCCTATTTTTAGACCAGCAGTAGGTGTGTGCAAGTGAGTGGGCAATGCATACCAAAACCAGCTCTTACAACCCCAAATTAATGCGAATTCCCAGCCTACACAGCACCTTTTGCCTTGCACCTGATGGAGGCAGAAGATCCTATGCTCAAAAGAGCTTCACCGCACCGTCCATCACCCAACTCCTGATGCAGACCCCAGGGTCTACGTATGGGCAGCCCGCCAAATTCTAGCCTTTCTATAGGTATAATTCACTGAGAAAAGAGCACGTTTTGCATCAAAAGCGTAGATTCTCTGCTTTTTCCGAGCACTTTGGGGGCTCCTGGGCTTGGCCCTGAATTTGCTTTCCCGTATAAAAGCCACACTGCTCCTACCCTGCCCAGTTTTTCCATTAACACCTTACTCGTTCCAGCACGGCATGTGGGCAGAGATACCGGCACGGCAGATATTATTTTCTTTACAGAGGGTAACCAAAATAAAAAATAAAAAATAAAAAAAACCAGAAGAGACAACTCCGGGTTGTGTTTATTTCTGCTGAGGCTAAAGAGGACCGAACCTAAGATAACGCACGTTCGTTTGCAAGAAGCCTAATTTTGGCCCTCTCTCCCGGGGGGATTGCAGAGTGGAAAAAATTCTCTAACAAAAGGAGGTTTTGTGCAAACAGAGAGACCTACTGAGAAACGCTCTTTTCCTCTCCCCACGGTGTCTGCCAAGGGGCAGGGTGGGTGACCACAGGGAAGGAGAGCAACCTTCAGCTAGGCTTACAGTCAAGCGGAGGGCACTGCTGACTGCTGGTAACCGAAGAGGTTATTTTAGGAAGAAATTTGGAAAAATATGCCTGAAAATACCCAAATCCAGGCAGGGAAAAGTCGCCCATCTGCTGCCTTTTTTAAACCCCGAGCAGCCTGTGGTACGTGAGTCACTCCAAGTGCTCACAAGGGAGGCATGTTGGAGGGAGGGACAGCAAGGTCACAGCCTGTCCCAGCGTGACCCGATGCCGGCGGTCCCACCGCTATAGGTAAAGCCAAACATTATGGGGTTAACCACCACTCCCAGCATCAACACCCCCCAAGAGATGACGGTGGGTGGCTGGGGAAGATGGAAGAGCCAGGGACTGGCCAGTGGGACCCTGACTCCATGGGTGAGCCTGAGGAAACCTTGACTTCTTCACACAGAATCTTCTAGGTTGGAAGGGACCTCAAAGATCATCTTGTCCAACCATCAACCTAATTTTGACAAAAACAGATACCCACACAACAAACAAAAAGCAACACCATCACTAAACCATACCTCCCAGCACTACATCAACCCGTCTTTTGAACACCTCCAGGGATGGGGCCTCAACCACCTCCCTGGGCAGCCCATTCCAATGGCTGATAACCCTTTCGGTGAAAATTTTTTTCCTAATATCCAGCCTGAACCTCCCCTGACGTAACTTGAGGCCATTTCCTCTCGTCCTGTCGCCTGTGACTTGAGAAAAGAGACCGACCCCCACCTCTCTACACCCTCCTTTCAGGGAGTTGGAGAGAGCAAAAAGGTCTCCCTTCAGCCTCCTCTTCTCCAGGCTGAACACCCCCAGCTCCCTCAGCCTCTCCTCATAAGACTTGTGCTCCAGACCCCTCACCATCTTTGTTGCCCTTCTCTGGACCTGCTCCAGCACCTCGATGTCTTTTTTATGGTAGAGAGCCCAAAACTGGACACAACTTCACGTCCTCAGCTGCAAAATGGAGACAACCATCTCCTCTTGCGTGGGAAGAGATGCGCCAGGCAGAATTTTGCACAAACACAACAGAACCCAGATCTTCTCAGGGGTTTGGAGATGTACTACCAGTAAGACGAGTCCCATGACTTACAGGGAACAGAAATTCGTCCTTAGGGTGAGGCTGGTGTATTTCTTGGAAGCTCTTCTTAGTTACTCTCCAAATACTTGGTAGATACTGCCCTTCTGGGAACTGTGTGAAGAAGCCACCATAGAAGCCAAGGCTCAGACAGCTTATGCAAGAGGTGACAGAGTCACAAGTAAAACCGAACCCAGAAGAGAGGTTTCTTGGTTCCCAGGGCTACACCAACAGTGTCAAAATAAAGACATTCAGCTTTATCCTTTCTCAGCCTTTTGGAAGAAAAGCTGCAACGGGCACAAAGATGTCCAGTTTCTTTCTAAAAGCTCCTCTCTGTCTCAGGCCTTTCGCCTCCTTGTGACTACAGCATCCTCACACCCACTTGGGGCGATGCTCTGAGGAAAGGTGACCCCTGCTTTACTGTGGAACCCCAGCACCAAGCTCATCTCCGTGCCATGGGGGACCTGCAGGAAGGAGCTCCAAAGCCAGGTGGGTACCCGCAGCACATGGCACCCTCTCCAGCAGGTTACAGCCCAAACGAAGGAAGGAGGGTTGCGAGAAGACATTCTAGGCAATGGCTTCCAGCAAGGAGAAACTGGGTTGACCGCAACGTTCTGCTTTGTTTGGTTAAACTGCTTGCTGTTGATATAAGCACTCCATAAAAATTATGCACAACCAGGAGGAGAGGAGAGATAGAAGAGTCAAAGAGCAGAAAAACAGCCTGTCGCACACAGACCCTGGGGAGAGCCGTGTTTACCTTTCGCAAACCACAGGTAGCAGTAAAATTAGTAATCAGCAATTAACATCCATTCGTCAATGGTTTCCTGGAAGGCATAACTTTGCCCCCCCTTCCCCCTTCCTGCCACCCGCTGAGAAGCACGCAGGGTCGCTGCGACAGCGGGAGGTATATTCCAGGAAAGCAAACAGCTCTGCACAAAAACCAGCCAGAGACGGAGCCCAGATTTGTCGCCGCTCCTGCCTGTGGCTCCCTTAAAGGTGTTAAGCTCTTCCCCTGCCCTTTAGAAACCCTTTAGAAACCATTAAGCCTTGCTGGGGCATCCAGACGCTATGAAAATCAACACCCAAAAGCAATGTGTGTGTCCCCCCTGGTCAATGAAAATGAATGCTGTCGTGCAGGGACTGGCAGAGATGGCTTCTCCAGCAAGGGGACATGGCCACCCTTCAAATGCCACGACGCCTTTTGGGCCGTGAAACAAAAAAAAAAGCAGCTCCCAATCACAACTGGGAAATCAGGGTGGGATTTCGGTGGTATTGTTGTAGCCGGTTCTACGGGAGGAAGTAGTAAAATTCACAACGGGAGCGGAACGAGCCGAGGAAAGAATGCTTTGGAAAATCCCAGCGCCGTTTCCAGGCAGGCAGTGCGTCCCTGCCGGCACAAACACCCTTCCTCTTCCAAGCTGTGCCAGGATTTGCATTGCCCACCAACGCTTGGGATGCCCGTTTGAAATATTACTGGAAAGCTGGGCTTTGAAAGCTGGTTTTTTTGGGATTAAAGCCCAAGATGAACACCTCATTGCACAACCCGGCTGCCGGCCAAGGTCTTTGGAAAGACCCAAAATCAGGCCAGCCAGGACGGCATGAGCCATTCCCCCCTGGAGACTCCAGGACTCACCTTTCTGCAAGATCTCCAGATGTTCCCAAAGGATGTCTCCCACAAAGTCCGGCGCTAGCTCCAAGAAGCACTCCTTGCCCAGGGCGCAGAGGGCAGCTCCGTTCATGCAAAACTTCTGGAAATCCACTCCCTTCAGGCTAAACTCGTTCACCGCCCACATCACCCAGTCCCGCACGTGCGTCTCCGTCCACTGCTGGGGATCTGCACCAAGGGGTTGTAGAAGAGACCCATTAATGAGCAACCACAAGCCATTTCCCCAGGAAAACAAGGACACCAACAGCGCTAGAGGTGTCCCAGGGAATAAGCACCTGTTGAGCTTCATCCCATAGAGACTAACAGACCATTGGCACAAGGGTAAAATGTGGGGAGGGAACACCATCATTTCAGTTTGGATCAACCCTATTTCACACACGGAACGAGCTTCGTTTTTGTTTGGTTATTTCAGTTTGGATCAACCCTATTTCATACACAGAATTAGCTTTGGTTTTGTTTGTGACTTTGACCAATTCCACCATTTCTCTGACCCTTTCTCCCACCCTTTTCTCTATTTCGCTTGGTTTCTCCCCGTCATCAGCTTCCTGTGAAAGGACGACCCTTTCTCCCACCCTTTTCTCTATTTCACTTGGTTTTTCCCCGTCATCAGCTTCTTGTGAAAGGATCCTGCTGCTTCTCCATATAGTGGAGATGACTCGCAAACAGAAGTCCTGGAGCTGCCTCCAAAAGGAGCAGGTCAGGTCCCCAAAGTCACAAGAGCAGCCATCCAGCAGAAGTTAGGGGGACAGACAGGCGCAATCTGTCAACCAAGTGTAGAATGCAAAGTACTGAAAGGTTTTGCCTGTACGTCCAGATTTTTTCTGGAGAAAATCAAGGCAATACTACCCAAAGAGCACCAACACAAGAGGTGGCAGATGTGGAGAAGGGCAGCCTGGCAGGAGGACATGGTGTCTGTCTCCTCCACAGCTTCTCTCTGGGAAGCCATGTCTTACCTTTGGGGATTCCCAGCCGCTGCTGCTCTTTCGCGAAGCCGCTGAAGGTGGCTTTCAATGCCTGAGACATCATTTCTTTGCTGCTGGGAGTTAATAAAGGCACATCTGCACATTCCATATCTGAAAGAAGAAGGAGAGAAAAATGGCCATGAGGATATGGGACTGGGAAAGACAACAGGAGTCGTGCCGGTCATTGAATTGTCAGAAGAACAGAGAAATCTTTTTTTCTTCTGAAATTTTCACATCCAGACCCTCCAGCCCTACACCCAAACCCTGCAAGTCCATGCAGGCTTCTTAAATGCAAGAAACACAATCTTGTGCTTATAATAAGCCTGTAAAAGGGCATAAGCCAGGTCTGGTGAGGTAGGTGACATGGTGCATATGGTCTCCCTATAAGGCAATCATGAATGTGCTACTGGAAATTCGATGGTGATATCAAAGACCTTTCCAGACATCAGCCTGCTGGGGTTCATCACCCCAGGTGGCGTCTGGAGCCTGGGAGATAGCTGAGCAGCTCCAGACATCATAGAATCATAGAATCATTTAGGTTGGAAAAGACCCTTGGGATCATCGAGTCCAACCATCAACCCTACTCTACAAAGTTCTCCCCTACACCATGTCCCCCAACACCACATCTAAACAACTCTTAAACTCATCCAAGGATGGTGACTCAACCACCTCCTTGGGCAGTCTATTCCAATGCCTGACTACTCTTTCTGTGAAAAACTCTTTCCAAATTTTCAGTCTAAACCTACCCTGTTGGAGCTTGAAGCCATTCCCTCTTGTTCTATCACTAATTACCTGGGAGAAGAGACCAGCACCAACCCCTCTACAAAGTCCTTTCAGGTAGTTGTAGAGAGTGATGAGAGGTAAAGAGTCCTACACCAGGGTGACCAAGAAACACAGGGAGAAGAGCATCTCTGAATCACCACTCCAGCTTCGAGCATCCCAGCCCAAAGAGAAGCAAAAGGCGAAAAAAAAAAATTAAACTTTCAAGATTCACAGGCAATCCTGGAAACGTGTAAGCTGACGGCAGGCTGAGGCAGGATGAAGAACCGGCAGAAAACCCATTCGAGGAGGGAGGGAAAAACAAAAGAAGCTGGAAAATCCCACATTAGCACAGAGTTACATCATGCGCAGCCCGTAGCAGGGAGCGACGCGATTCGGGGTGAGTCACTGAACAATGCTCAGCCGCCCCCATGGGAGAGCACGGGGCCAAGCCAAGAGCCAGGCCTTGGAGTAAGTCCTGATGAGAAGCAAAGTTCTTCCTTTCTTTTCTTTTTTTCTTTTTTTTTTTTCCTTTTTCTAATTTATTTGGAAGGAGGTGGGTATTTGTAGCCAAAGAGTTTCACAAACAAAAGCAACCGTTGGAAAAAAAACAAACCTCCTCCATCTGAATAAAGGTTTGGCCCTTTTTCATATATTTTAAGCATTCCTGAAAAACATCTTTCGCAGCGAAGGGAAGCCTCATCCAACCACCATCTCAAACGACTGAACATTATCGGTCTCGTATGTAAATCTCCCACCTGAGGCTGGTTTAGCACTGTGACCCATTGGAAATTTTTCAATCAAAACTGTTCTCGGTGGAAAAACGGCCACACGCTCGAGCTCTTTTGGTGTTTTCATGAATGTCTGGACATAGACATCAAAAGTCAAAGAATTCTCTGTTTTGTGGAAATCCCAGCCACCCTGGCTTACCGTTGCTCTGAGTTAATTTAGGCTCTGATTTAATAAACCTACAAAACACTGGTGGGTGCTTGTTTCAAGCAACGTTGAGCGCATCCCTAATGCAAGGGTGAGTCAGGGATAAAGGCAGCGCTGCGGTCACTGGCCACCAGCTGCCCAGCTTCTTTCCAGTCTGACCAGTCTGGGGTTCCTGCCCCACTCAAATCCTCCACAGCCAAACGTGCAAGCATCACTTCAGGCCCAAACAACACAATATTGGGGTTTTTTTTGGAAACGGGAATCCAGGGGTTGGGTCAATGAGGAGGAATCCAGGGGTTGGGTCAATTGGAGCTCTGCAGCACAGGGGGAGGTTGACCATGCTGCAAAGTGTCACCAAACACGCTTCCTTCACCAAACCAAACAGAACCACTTTTCCATCTCCATCTTTGCACCTTTCCCCCTGTCTGGGGTTGGGTCAATTGGAGCTCTGCAGCACAGGGGGAGGTTGACCATGCTGCAAAGTGTCACCAAACATGGTTCCTTTGCCAAACCAAACAGAACCACTTTTCCATCTCCATCTTTGTACCTTTCCCCCTGTCGTCCCCAAATAAAAGGCTGCCCAGGGAGGTGGTGGAGTCTCCTTCTCTGGAGACATTCCAAACCCACCCAGACACGTTCCTGTGCAACCTGCTCTGGGTGGACCTGCTTTGGCAGGGGTTTGGACTAGATGGCTAGATGACTCTTCTCCGAACTCACAGGAGACAGGACTGACCTTCTTTGGCAGGGGGTTGGACTAGATGGCTAGATGATTTTTCTCCCAACTCACAGGAGACAGGATTAGAGGAAACGGCCTCAAGTTGTGCCAGGGGAGGTTCAGGTTGGATATTAGGAAAAATGATTACACTGAAAGGGTTATCCAGCATTGGAAGGGGCTGCCCAGGGAAGGGGTTGAGGCATCATCCCTGGAGGTGTTCAAAAGATGGGTTGACATCGCGCTTAAAGACATGGTTTAGTGATGGGGTTTTTTTGTCAGAGTTAGGTTGATGGTTGAACTAGATGATCTTGAAGGTCCCTTCCAACCCAGATGATTCTATGAGTCTATGATCTCCAGATCACATATTCTATGATCTCCATATCATTCTGTGATTCTGTGAAAAGACATCATGCGAAATCACCCCCTCTATTTGTAGCTCTCTCTAAGGTTAGTCATGAGATGATTTGCACGACTCTTTGCTCAGGTAGGACTAGAAACTGAGCCAACACTGAGCCTCTCAGGACCCAATTCCCTCACACAAATCAAGGATTCCCTGTGACGGTGGAAATATCATGACCTTCAAAAGCAAATAATACATTCAAAGGCTATTTGGCAAATTACACTTCATTATTTACTGGATTTGGCTGGAGAGGGCATGGAAAAACGAGCAGCCACCCTCCCTATCTCTGTTCCCCATCTGCTGCTTTGAGATAACGCCGGGAGAAAGTGGTTCGGTGCCCCTTTCCCTTCATCCTCATGTTACATTTTAATGCTTTGCTTTCTGTGCTCTGTGGTTTCAGGGACCACCCAGGAATCCTCCCCTCCGCCGCCTGGTTAAACGGCAGTTCACTGCTCCCGGGTGCTATGGGAAGATGAGTCAGAGTTAGGCTAAGAAAACGTTTCTAACCCCAATTTTTACACTGAATCACTTGCAAAAAACCAAAAAAAAAAACCCGTGTGGAGATGACCTCCTTAAGGAAGCCACGAAGAGCACCAGGGCAAGGTGAGGTGTGTGTAGAATTGTACTTTTATCTCGGAGATGCAAGGGAGTAGCCATCACTGAGCACCCCCCCCCCTGTTTTCTTGATTCGGGGGGCTGGGTTTGCACAAAACCCTCGAATCAATTTTTTTTCAGTAGCGGGGGATAAGGTTTCGGTTTAGGAAGGTGAACGCTGAGCTCTGCACAAACATGTCAAAACAGGGAAGACTTAAAAGTGATTCCCAGGGCGAGGTCATCGGGGAAACAAACGGTCTATTTTCAAAATTAAAAAAAAAAAAAATTAAAAAAAAATTTAAAAAGCAAAGTGCCAGAGGAGGGTTTCTATTTAAACACCGAAATAAACCAAAAATGTGCATTTCAAGGCTTCTCCTTCCAAATATCTTGCACCGGGCAGATTTAGCATTGAAACGTCTGCTTTTTTTTCCTGTTAAGACTGTAGCTACTGGGTAAAATTTCTTCAGAAGGCAAAACAGCCAGAAAGCCCCAAGCTTGCTAACGCTTGCAGAAGCCTTATTTTAGTCAGCAGTGGCCCACATCTATAGAAAAGCTCACACGTGTAAAGCTAAACGTGTTTGTAAAGCTCTGCAGACGTGTTTGTGGACAAGCCTTAGCCCTGCAATCCGAAAAAGACGAGAAGCAGGGGGACGGGTCGGACAGTTTTTAATCTAAATTCTGCCTCTGCTGGTTTTGACGCGCTGAATTTACTGAAATAGAGTTTTCTTTGTTAATCTCCGAGTGTGCGGGGAGCACGATGGGTTTTAGTGGCTCTGCCTGGTGGAACTTTGCTGGGTTAGAGGGGTTTTTAGTTCCCAGGGAGGAGAAGGGAGCCCTGGTGATGTCTCCAACGCCTGCAGATGAGTCCTTCTCCTTCATTTTGGGATGCCCAAAGGTCAGAGCCAAGCAGAATTGCGGTAGCAAAAGCAACCCTGCCTCAGCGCATCATTCCCCCCCCCCCCAGGTTTCAGCTTTCACTGCCATCTGAAACCTGTTTCCAAGATTTTAATCAAATCTCACCCAAATAAAATGTCTTCCTTTTGTGTGTACCTCCTGCTGTCCCCAAAGCACACACGTGCATCCACGTGAGAAACGTGTGGGATGGGAGCATCAAGAGGCACCAAACCCATCTGTTACACTCCGGCTCAGTCTCAAAATTTCAGGCTTTTAAGGCAAAAAGCCCGCATGGCAGCGGGGGCCGGGCGACCACGGTGTCGCATCCCAGCCTGGGTTTGCTGGATGGTTTTTAATGACGCCCATGAAAGCCTCAATCCCCACGGGCTGCCACATGCAGATGCCATGTCCTCCTGCCGCGGCACCGCCGGGGAGCTGCATCCCATTTTCCTCCTGGGAGAGCAGGCAGGGTGTCACGGTTTGATTTTTTTTAAATACTAAACAGGAGTTTGCAGTCGCTCTGGAAAATTATGTCACCAGCATCTGCAGAGCAGAGAGAGAAGTCGTTTGCCTTGCACGGTGGGGAGGCGGAGAGGGACATCTACCCATCTGGCTGCAGCTTTCCAAAGCAAGGAGAGATCTGAGGGTTCAGTTTCAGACCCCACCTCTATTTTTCCTCCAGCTCCCTGACATCCCTAGGGATGGGACTTTAGCAAGAGAAGAGGATAATAACAACTCTCACCCTGCTGCATCCCTATATGGGTTTTAAGCTATGGGGGATCTGCCCCAAACCCCACCGCCCCACTGATGCGA